AGCATCTCCTCTACTTTCTATTGGCATGGAGTCTAGATAGCTGCCAGCTGAATTTTTAATCTACAAAATCATAATTCATAGAAAATTGCCACTCTCAGATAGGGTGCAGGATGATAGATATTCTGCTCCCCTTTCTATGTTGTATAAGAGAAGTATGTTTCTGTAAATCAGGGTTTAGAATATCTTTATATAGTGTCTTAAGGTGGAAATCAAAATGAAGTAGTAACCACAGGTAGATACATGGATTTGTTTAGCAAATCTGCTGCCCTCTGCTGTTCTATGGGTTGTTTTTTTAATTTGTTTCTAAGAGAAATGTCTATCTTCCCTTAGCAAAGCAAAGACTGTACTTGAAAGCAGGAGTTAATAATATTTATTATCAATAGTATTTATTAAAATCAAGAATTAACAATATTTTTAAGTCTATAACATTAGAAACAATGAGATTTGAAAAAAGCCAAAGGTTAGTTTTTCTGTGGAGGAATTACTAGGCCTCTAGACAGAACAAAATTTGCTGAAAATTTCTAATATCATTTTCCCTAAAAATCAGTTCCAGTCTAACTATACCATGAAGTAGTTACATGCTGCAGCTATTATTTAAGTGTGCATTTTCTTACTGAGCTCAACCAGTCACAGGCTTTGTGACTACTGTTCAAACTATGGAACAAACATACAGTCACATTCCGCTTTTATCACTCAGCATCCCACCCTAAACATTTCCCAAGGTCCCTACACAGCTTTTATCATGGTGACCACTACACACGCTGGATAACTTAGGCCATGTCACTATTTTGCTATGATGTCCCAACTTTTCTATTACTGTCTGTAGCTACCATAATAATCTCATATTATAAAACATTGAAATAAAAAGCACATCTCTAGAAATACTTTGGATATAATTGATTAATAACTACAGACTATATATTTATTAACAAAACTATAGGGAAAAATCAATAAAACACTCTGACAAGTTCAAAATAATGGCTTTTGTTTGGATATGGACTATCTCGAAGTGCCCATTATTACAAAGAATGTCCTCTCCTGACCAGGGGGATGGCTTCTAGGGAACTGAAGGCGTTTTTTTCTGCCTTAAAATACTACTGTCCAATTACACTATGTTTAATTAGTGCCAGGTAATAATTTTCAAAGAAGTAATGACCCACATGCAGTACTTGAAGCACTCATTTTCAATAGAAAATCAACACCCGAAACAGTCTAGTCAGGCATAAGTTACTCGAAAGCACTAAGGATATCACCGAGTAAAGTGAATGCTCCGAGGCTGTGTTTTCTCTAACTAAAGTAACTGTACATATTTTTTTTTCAAACTGTTTATATTAACACTCCTTGTTTTTCTGTCTTAAATACAATAGCCACTAAAGGGGAGCAAGTCAATTATAAAAATTGGCATTCTCTCTACATTGGAGTGCCGAGCAAACCAGGGTAGGATTCTCTCCCTCACCCTGTCCCCAGCCCTCAGCCACCGCAGTCCTGTGACAAAACCTCGCCCCATCCAAGTCCATCCCGCAGCTCTAGGCAGGCGGGAAGGAGGCGATTCTTGGGGTAGCTTGTAAACTGTGACCTTTCTTCGCTTTCTGAGAGGCTCCTTGTCTCCCCATCTTTTGGGGGGCCCAGACCATCCCAAGTGGGCCCCCAGGGACCCTTCTGTCTTGCCTGAGGCAGGGCCCCCTCCTTCCTCCAGCGCCCCATCTAACGAGCCAGTGTCTCCTCGCCCTTTCTTCCAGCCCCCTCTCCCCAGCGCTCCGACTCCTGTTCCCAGGGACCCCGGCCCGAAGCCTCTTCCTACCTCACCATGTGGAGGAGCCACCGGCAGCCCCTCCCCTCCGCCCCGGAGC